TTATTATACCCGATTATTATCTCCCATAATATGTACTTTTGAGTATAATGGCCTTGTCTCTCAAATTTCATTATATCTTGATGGAAGCGTTCTCCTTATTATTTTTCTTTATAGACATTCTACATCTCTCCGATGATGCAGAAATTAGTGATGATGTCAGTGATCAGCTCTTTGGTTTTCAAGGAGGCCCTGTACTACTGCCTTAAAACTGTTTCAGATTTTTTCTCCTCAACTCTAAGCAACTTAGAGAAAACATCACAATCCCTATTTTATTTTTTTTTGAGTTTCTACAAAGATTCCAGATTTTATTTTAGCGTCTGAAAGCTTCAGAAAAATATGCTTCAAACATTTGAAAGCTTCGGACTCACGATTAAGAGTTCACACAAATTGTTTAATAAGACCCAATTTAATATGCCTTGGTGACCTTTATTTAATTTTTTGCTTCCGATTTAATATTGAATTTTTCCACTTCGCAATCGGTACGTAGCGGCTTATTCCTACTATTCCAGAGGCAAAGATAACAGGATTATTTAGTATTCCAGTCAAGTCGTGCTATCTTGAAGTCTACAATAACTTCCCACTTGTATTCCACATATTTAATTGCTGTTAGTAGCATCTTGTTACCGTCGAAATTTTTTTTGAGATCCAGGGAATGTGCCAATGGAATAAATAAAAATTTGGTAATATTGTGAAGTAGAACCACTTTTAAACTTTTTGTTTACCTTTTTATTGAAGGGCGCCATTTAGTTGTTTGACAAAGAATACCAATGTCTTTAAACACGGCTGTCGCGTCATGACAAAAAACAGAGTCCATTTTCCTTACTGAAGAAACAAGAAAATTTTTCATGCCGTTTCCTTTGATGGGATATTTTAATATCAGAATTCTGTAAATTTCTTTGTTTTAATCGCGATGCCAAAAACTCTTGATAGATTTAAGCCTCTTATAAAATCATTGAAATCAGAGTTGATGATACGTTTTTGGTTCAGATTCCAATGTTTTTTTGTTGATCTGTGTTATTCTGTTCTGTCATATAATCAGTTGTACTGTGTAAACTCAGTTATACTGTGTTTGACAGATGTACTAAAATTTCTTTTGACCAATAGAGAGGAAGATGGTCTTACGAGTATTTATTCTCTCAAAGGGAGAGAACCCTTACTTGCTACTCGAGTACGCTACCATCGGTATGTATATGCATGTTATTCGTTGCATTTTTTCGAATTCGTAAGTGATCAACACTATTAAAAACAGAATATTATTATAATATATTTTTGTAATTTCAAAACTATAATTTGTAAAATATCTCACAATAAGCTTAAAAAAATTATTACATCATTTTAAAAATTTATTAAACATTTTCTTTTAATCAGCGATTATATGATACTATCTAAGCTTTTGTTTAAAAAATTACGCCGCAAAAAATTGTGTAATTAAATTATTATTGTAAAGCACAATTTAAGCATCAAAGCTAATTGCTTAAACCTAACTTTTCCTCTCAATGCGGCAACAACTTTTATAATTAAACTAACTGTAACCCGCCAATAGCAAAACACAAATCAGATTAACAAAAGTTTTAGCAAAATTTAATCACTTGGCTGGTACATTTTACGACAGATTGTTGAGAATGAGTAAAACGTGAAAGCCAATTTTATTTACGTTAAACTACTTAACCTACGTAAAACTATATAAAGGGTGTTTTTTGTGGAGGAACAAATTTTAGAGGAATAGCTGTCAAAATAAAGATATTTATTTTAGATTCAAGTAGAGACCTACACAGAAACAAAATTTAAAAAACGAGGATATTTATTCCAAGATCTCGGGTAATGTCGTCAAAATCTCTTGGGTGGTGAGACATATTTCTGGCTTAGCGAGCAACTGCAAATCACCGCATTTATAGTATGAACAATCCCGTGGAGATGCTCCAAGCAGCCTTGTAACTAGAAACAATTTTTATATCCCTAAAAATACACCCTTTATAATCCCATAAAATCGAAATTGTAAATTTCTTATTTCATTCAAACTAAAATTTCACTGATGAAGTTAGCTATAAATAATGCTCAAGACACAGTTGAATGATATATAATCATATATACAATACATATGTACAAACAATTTATTATAGTGTCTAATTGGATTATGCACACTTTCCTATTCACCAATACACACACGCATGCTGACATTCTGATTGTATTTGTAAACTATGATGAAGTCTTCGGCATATTCGAGTGCTTCAGTGTCGTTGCTTCAAGTGTCATCTTGATACTCATATTGCTGCTGGCAATTTGTTGCAAGGAAGCAAAGTTCTTACGTTGACAGCGTCACTAACATACAAGAGGCAACATTTTAATTAAAGTTTCCATATGAACATCTCAAAAACTCTTAACAAAATTGAAGTGACAATAAATGTTGATAGACAGGTGATAGCTGAAGTCAAAAGGCACGTGCCTCGCATATATAATATATATGTATATATACATATTGTAGCAAGGATATTTTTAATTTAGTGCGTACAGATGTATACATAATTTCAACAAGAGCGTCTTGAACAGGGTCGCATGCAGAGGAGGGGTTTTTTTAAAAACCAACTACGTTGTCTTTGCGAAAGGTATTTACTTAGTGTTTTGGCGAGTTCTTCTATTACATCGCCACTATAAACCGCTATTGAACAAATGGAAGTATTAAACCGATCAACCTAAATTGGCGGTTTGCCTATAAGAGAGGTTATCCTCCGTGGTGGCCGTTTTCGAGGCACCTGGACGTAGCGCATCAAAACCTAACGTGCGACCAATGTTTTGACAGTCGAAAGAGTCGAAGGAGAAGAGTATATTCTCTCAGAAAAACATTTTTTTTTAAATACGGCTGCAATTCGGAGACGGTTTAGAGTTTTGTGTACCCTCCAATACCTTTTTTTGTGAAGAGAATCAAGCAGCTAAGAAATTGCAAAATGTTTTATTTTTATGAAATTATTTTCTTATAAGAACTGTAGAGGCTTAGGTGACCTTACAGAAGCCTTCACAACTTGATTCAATATGATAGATCCCGTAACTTGTTATAGAACAACAGTAAGAACTATAAAAAATACTAGATAAAGTTATCACTAAAGTTAGTAACCCAATTTAGGAAAGACTTCTGAAAATATTGATATTTTCTTTAGTTTAAGCCTGGCATGGAACCCCCCAGGGGGTTGACAAGCTCACACTTTTGCCAACCGGTACCGGAGGTATCGAATAAACAATCGTTTAGAACAAATAGTCCTGCATAATTACACTCATATTTTCGCTTTGCCAAATTACAACCGTATTACCAGTGTTGTCTCAATTTTTATATCGAACTTACTTGCTTTTCTTCCTTATTGACAATTTCGCTGTTTCACAACAAGTATTTAGAGTAACTTCTTGCATCATTATCGACATATCGGACCAGGTGGTGATGCTGCTTCCCCAATAAAGCTCTTGCCCAGCTGCTGCTGCTGTGTATACATCATTACGTGGTGCCGACTGGCGCGACGGCAGTTATTATATGCAAATTAGTGAAAGCCATCGACGCACAAGTTCACAAACACCCAAAAGAAGTCGGCAAAAAGAAGTAATATGTTAGGGTGAAAAGAGGTACGAGGCGTAGGGAAATTTGCCATAAAAATTCATTTATGTCTGTGGCTTTTTGGCTTCGTGGACATGCGGCACGCCACGTTGTTTTACAATGTTTTACAGATACCTCCACCGAACGTGCAGCTAAGGAACTCCTTTCTTTCGCACTGTTAGTAGGACGGGTCTCGGCGCCCATGAAAAATTGCCGGCGCTCACTTGTAGCAGACATAACTGTTGTAAGTGTTTGCATAAATTTCAGTTTTCGCTGCTGCCAATATGTAATTTTATTCGTCGTTGGGATCGGCTGGGCGATTGTTGGAGTCCCATTTTTAAGGATGCAAAATTACATTTTAATTTTTCCATTGAATGTCTGCGTGTGCAAGAGCAAGTGTTTGACTTTGGTATAATGGCATTTAGTGCCAAAGTTGTAGGTTCGCTACCTACAACTTCGAAAGAATAGAAAAATATGCGCTCGTTTTACTATGAAAATTTGGCCTTAGTAGAAAGTTTACTGTTATGCCGCTATTCTTTAGCGGTACATTGGATCTTAGCGAAAACATATAAAAATGCAAATATGCCACTGAATATTTCTTTTGGGAAATGTTAATAAAAAGGTAGGAAGGAAGAAAAAAAATTATTATTTTATGCCTTTCGATTAAAATAAAGCGACTTCGGTGGTCTTTAATTTCGCTAGTTTCAGCCAAAACTGTTGTCGTACTTTGTATGCTACCAAAGCTTGAGCGTAAATGTATGTAAGTGGGTCAAACTTAAATGCGTAATGCCTATGGTTTAAGTGCTGGTGATTAGTTGTCGATACTACTTATATACATGCATATGTATATAAAAAGCGACCAATTTTGCAAATAGTTTATTTGGAAAAAGGGTGTTCTGCATTAATAATGGATTAAATACGCATTCTCTTATAAAACTTGCTTATTGTTGATGTATCGGGAGAAAATATATCCCCAATAATGTTGTGGAATGCTGCTTAGTTGACAGTTATTTGTTATTTGAATGGCTAGCTACTTTATCTATCAATTTAATTAATCGCTCGCTCAATTTAATTAAGATAACTCAAGGTCAGCAGGAAGTTCGAAAATCTTTCTATTAGGCCTAAGGGGGCTAAGGGAGAAATATGGGACCGATTCAACCAAATTTTGACACACAGACATACTAATATCAGGAAAGGATTCTATGCAAATTTTAATAAAAGCTGTCTTCGATTCGCTTCTGCTGTCTAGACAAAAAAATTACATGTAAAACCAACAACAAAGTTATCGACTTGAATTCGTACAAGGGAGTATGCGGATACCTCATTAAAGTGATGTAGCTGCTATCTTCAGTGCTACCAAGTTTTGTTTTGCATATTTTATATCACTTTTACTATTGTGAATGATTCAAATGACAAATGGAAATAAAAATTCCTCTTTTATATTTTTAAAAGATAAGACTCAAAATCAATTATAGTAATTTATAGAAAACCAAAATATCGCGAAACATTTTTTTTCCACAAAGAAAGAATCATACCACTATTGCGCATGTCTCAGAAGACATGTTAGAGCTGTGCGGCCTCACAAGTTCTTCCCGTTTGTTTGAAGATCTGGTATAGTTTGTTCGATTCGCTGGAGAGCAAGGCTTGGAGTTATTTCGAGATATGTGAGTTTACCTAAATGTGGGTGGTGCCACGCGCAATTCTGATACCTGCTTCTAAAAAGCACTATCACTTGTAGTAGTTTTTACAAACACCGTTATATTGGGAGTTGGCGTGGTTATCATCCGATTTCACCTATGAAAATGATATGACCAGTTCAAATTCAGGTGATAGATGATGTATATAATAGCTTGAATGGTTTGGAAGAGATGTACATTATTTTCAAACCGCAGGTGCCCTCATTGTTGCACTTTTGTAGCAAATTACATTTTTATATCTTAATTTTCGGCTTAGTTATGCAAATTTATAAGTTTTCGATTAATGACGTTTTGTGGGCATGGCATTGATTCCATTACGTATATCTACCTAAATAAATTTGCTAAATAACACATGTACCGAGTTTTAGTACGATTTCTTATTATTTACTCAAGTTATACGGACGGACGGACGGACAAACAGACAGATATCCGGATTTAAACTTGTCATGTTAACGTGATCATTTATATTTTTATACACATCTATATCTATCCCGATTAGTTTTAGGTGATACAAACAACCGTTACGAGAAAAAAACTATTATACTCTGTAGCAGCATGTTGCATGAGTATAAAAACGAGTTCGTTAGATATATTTGCAACGATTGTTATTAAAGATGAGCCGAATGGAGGTGAAACTATTGGTTGCGTTTAGCGTGAATGTATTAAATGATTCCCATCAGTTTCTCTAGCTTCAGAAATGTTGTGGCCAACTTTTTACCTAATGAAAGCCATCCATTTCAATCCATCCAATCCTGATTAAACATTTGCTTTTGAAAACTTTTTTAGTATAGCAAAATTCTCTGTTTTTATCTTTTTCCAGCCAGAAATTAATTTTTCTGGTGGACCATGTAACGGGTGTTTTTTATAGACGTGCTGTTTTTAATGAGGCAATATTTTTTTCGGAGTTGATCTTTTTGACAGTTGTTACTTTATTTATACTTGGTTTAGTTTGCCATTTCGTAATGGACAGACTTGTTCAGGAGCAATATTTACAAACCGTGCAAATTTAATACCAAAATAATGGTCCAGTTCCTTTTAATTGCTCAGCAGAGTCAGTAATTCGAGCAACCATGGATCGGTTTGGCACGCACAAGACAAGACGTTATTGCTGCTGTGTAGTAGCATATGGAAGAAGATCCATTTTATGGAAGTTCCGGCTAAAATCAAGACTTGCGGGCTTACAAAATTCAACTTATGCAGGAATTGAAGCCGAACATCAAGCGCGACGCATGTTCGGTGAATGGGGCCAACCGGCCACCGATTGTGTGACGGTAGTTGCACAGTTAATTACCTACATTATATGTTAGATATTAAGGTTCCCCAACGTAATATTTACATTTTTCGCTGTTCTCGCGAAAACTTATTTGATATTCCTTAACAATCTGGTGTAATTCCTAAATAGCGATTTCGTGTTAAAAATTATTATTACATACAGGTATATTAGTGAGATCAACAGCATGTAAGGAATGTATATAATTTTTTTCTTAACAAGCCGGTTTGAGACAAAACAATATTGATGATTGTTTTATTTATTATAAAAAATTAACAAATTTAAATTTAAGGATAAAAACTGGTATAAATAAGAATAGATGTATGTAATGAATTTTTAGTTCTTTCTGGAAATGGCAAACATTTTTTTTTGCATTGATGGACATTAGTTTAAGAGTATCTAACAGTAGAAAATTTTGCTTAAATACTTAAAAAATAAAAAATTGTTTAAGGAGGAAAAGTAGGAAAAAGCTACCAACTTCTCAATAATGTTACTAAACTCAATTTTTCAAATAAAATCAAATTTTTTCCTAATTTTTCTCTTGCAATTACCAAATTAATTAAACAATTTATAATATTTTACCCTTCAAATTCACAGCATAGCGTATGCAAACAGGAATATATACTTATATATGTATTAGTACGACCACAAACAAATATCTTTAAGGAATCTGAAATCAATTAAGCATTTATTTATATTTCTTTCTTTCGTGCTATTAAGTTTCCAAATCACTGTCATTGCCACAAACCAAAAATATGGAAAACATTTCTTTCAATAAATACAGATAAAAACAGACAATATTCCGTACAAACGTTTAATAATCGCAAAGAAATTTTCGAAAATTGCTCATACGCTCTGTCAACCGCAAAGTATTGTAATACTCGAGGGTGGTGAGCAAATAGAGCAGGCGTGTTCAAGTGTGAAGTATATAAGCATGTGCGATATTTCTATTGAGGTTAAATTTAATTGTGTTATTGTGGTTAAAGTTTATTTATTGAAATAATCCGTTTAGTCGGGTGAAATAACAAATAAAGAGAAAAAAATGCAAACAATAACCGATTTCACTGCAGTTTTGACTATTGTGTGCACAAGTACGAGTATACTATTTTTTTAAAGTAAGCAGACATATTATTTTATTAGGTAGAAATTCTTAGTATTGGTGGGGAATTGACATAGGTTGGAGGACTTTACTTGCAAATTTTTAATCATAATATTATATTATTAAAAACAAGAAACATTCACGAGCTTTTGGAACCTAGAATTCATGCTAAATAACACAGTTCGAATTTCAATAGAAGTACTGCTAACACCTTTAAATATATATTCCATTTCGTTCTTTATTGTTGTTTGGTTCATTGGAATTTATCTCTTATATATTATGTAACAAAACTACTCTGTTAGTACTTACCATTTGTACGAGACTCTAAAATATAGCCGCTTTTGTATAATTGCTTTACAAGAACGAAAATATCATCACGGTGACTTCAAATGGTAAATTTAGTTCCATCAAATAAATTGCTCTATTGAAATAAAAAAAAAGCTTAATGCCTTTCACTGGTTCAAGTTTTCCTTACAAGAACTTGATTTTGATCGGTCTATGAAAAAGCTTTTCATCGTTAATTAAGCCAAGTATTCGAGAATTGAGTGTTCTATGAATTTCGAGCAACTCTCTTTATGAGAATTTTTTCATTCCCGAAGCGCAGTTTAAGTTTCAGTTTGTTCGGGCTTTAAACATTTCTTTTTTTACATTTAAACTCACAGTTTCTCTGAGTGTAGTAACGAACTTCTACTTATAAAATAATACTTTGATTTTTTTATTGTTTCATCTCGCTTGATCAAGTGTTACGAGAAACTAAAAAGGTCTTAAGCGCTCAGTTATTTCACAAAAATTTCCGCTTCGCCTTGGGTTATGTGCTGCAAATGTGTTCGCAACTGCACGGAATTTAGTTGAGAACTATTTCAATTGGTTAATGCACTTATTTGCATGCTGTTTAAATTTTAACGCTCTAAAGTGCAACGTAAATACTAGCTACTAGGAATGTGCGAAGAACACATACCACATATACATGCATACATACATATGTCGTAGATTTGCGAAAGCGACGTGCTCGCAGCACTTGCAACTCGTGAAAGGCCACAATACTTTATTATCGCTGTCGAAGTAGAACGATGTGGTAACTTTGGAATTTATTAGTGTAAAACCACTCGAGTGCCAGCAGTGGATGTGGGGCTTGAATACACTTAAAAATGTATGTATGGATGTGTGTCGAATAAGTAGTTGTGTATTCTTACGACTTTTATGACGAGTGCAAGCGAAGGATAATTGATGACGCCGTGACGCATTCCACGCAGTGTAAAGGCACCTCGATATGTAACCTTGTCGGATAGAAGTGGCTGCAAGACATCTTCATCACTGCAATATGTTCATATGTTTGTATGTATGTAGTTATGTGAAAATTTAATCTTATGCTAAAATATTGATTAACACTTAAAAATATTCAAGTGAGGAGAGAATGCTTAAAAAATTTCTGCACTGACGAAGGTATTTGCGAAGCACATAAATATAATATATCAAAGTACTGAAGTGCATAAGTTATAGTTCGATTTCCACAAGTTTTTGACGTTAGATGAAATACCTTGAGGGTACTATTTGCGCAAAGCTTTACTCTGAAACCTTTATTGATGTTTTATTTTTATAGTGTAAAGTGAAGGAATCAGATGTAATTTAAAAGTTTGTTATATGAGAGATTTATGTGGTTGTCATCCAATTTTGCCACAGCATGTATTAAAAATATTTGGTGAACCTCATACACCGAATTTTGTTGATTTTCGGTCAAATAGTTTCTGAGATATAGAATTTCTTCTAAAGGGAGGTGATACCACATCCTGATCATTTATATGTATATAACCCTATATCTAACTCGATTATTTTTAGGTGGTACAAACAACCGTCTGTAGCATGTTCATGATCACGTCAAGTAGTGGACTTCTTTTGTCGAATTTACTCCGTAGAAGGCGAAGAATATTCTATCGGCTGAAAAAGTGATTGCTATCGTTTTCTGGGATTTACAAGATGTGAATTCCATCGACTACTGCGAGAAGAACAATTATTGGGCTGACTCCAAGCTGAATTGCAGAAAAAAAAGGCGCCATATGCCGGAGAGATAAAAATGCTTTTCCATCATGGCAACGTACCGACTCTCACCACCGCCGTCGCAATGGCCATTAGTATTGCTGCCACATACGCTGTTCTCTTCAGATTTAGCCCTGTGTTTACAAATTTAAAAGGGTCACTAGCCGGAAAGAAATTTAAGTCGAATGTGGATGCTACCGCCGCCATTGAGGCTTACTGTACAGACCTCGATACAACTTATTGAAAAATAAATCGAAATTTCCATTTTTCTTTTGTAAGCTAAGTATTTATGGAACCGCCCTTGCATATAATAGCCGTGGCAGATTCAACTAAACCGCTTGCTAGCAACCACATTTGGAAATGTGTTTATAGTGCTCCGTTATACACCGTTAGACATGCCTGCAATCGCGGTAACACCACGACTAACGAACGTCTCCTCGCGTATATTATAAATACCTGAATACCTCTGTATGTATGTATGTAGGTATGCAGCCACAGCAGTTAAAGAGATGTGGTGGCGCGAGTTAGCGGCACGTAATCATTCTATGTGATGACACATAAATTAGTTTTACGGCAATTAACGAAATGCTACGCTTCAAAGTCGGCGCCAATGCCACAAACGTTACCGCAAAATGGGCCCAGGGATAATTTCTAGTGCGACTAGGCGAGAACATATACATTTAAAAGTTTATATGTATTTGTTTATGGGAGCAATTTAGCGGCAATGCATTAATGAGAGTGAAATTTCTTAATGGTTATGTCTGTTTTTCTAATGAAAATTGGTAGCCAGATTAAAATTAGATGCAGATGAGGTATGCATAGCTTAAATTGCATTCAACAGAAAGAAATGGAAGAGAAAGGGAAACGTTCTCAAAGGAAGAGCATTTATTTCAGTGCAATAATCAATGGCGGTAGTGGATTACGCGGAAATATCATCTGGGGTTTCGATTCGAAGGTTCCAAGTCCCAACAAAGCTTCATCTTTTAAAGAAATTTCTTTAATTTTCATCTAAAACAAAAGTGCTTGATCTTGCAATCTAATATCAAACTCAAATTGAAGGCATTGAGCCTTCTCATGCTAAAAAATTATCAGCCAAAGGTGAAGATAGTCTTGCCTTGATACAAAGCGGTTATAATGCAAATAGTTATTTGAACACGGCGTCTATGGCAACCAGAGTTGTGCAAAAACTCAAACTAACTTGATAGGACCAATTACATCATATAATCTACAGTCATTTCAGGAGCTCATAAATCGAGTAACAAATCCACTAAGGGTTGACACACATCCGGAAAATTAATGGAATAGAAAGACAATACGTCTGAAATAAAACTGCAGTTAAGATCACACTTATGAATAAAAATTTCTGATTTTATTCGTATACAATCTGGCAATATCTTCTTCTTTGTTCCGTTTGTCTAACTTTGTTAATATCTCACAAGTACGGACTAGAAATGGTAAGTATCTGAAACTGACAAAACTACTGAACATATACATTTAGAAAATTTCTTCAGCCAGAGTTCCTAACTACTGAGGTAAGCTAAATGTTATGACCAATACTGTTGGAATCGTGCCGTAAAATAACCTACCAAAATTAGAATATCGTACCAAACAAATAGGTAAAGAAGAAGTATATACATACATAAACAGTCAACGTATGAACTACATATGTATACATAATACATACTCAACACTTTAATCATAGCATTTTAACGATTTGGAGAATATGCCGATCTTGTCAACTATACTAAATAATTTTGAAAAATAGTGTAAGCACTTTCCCGCATTAGTTAATCTGATTCGGGCTGCGTATATGTGTTTATCATACTATCCTATGAAATATATATCCTCAAGTCCATAGAAGTAGCACAGCTGTAGAAAATCACAAGAATAACAATATGCAAATATGTACTTATATTGTTTGGCCTAAGCAGGCAATAACCCTGCTGGAAAATGAATTAGGCTGTTTTAGAGATATTGACTTTCCTAGAGTGATAATTGTCGAACCAGCTCAGGATCGGATTCAAAAGGAAACAAACTGTATATATAAATTATATAGCATATAATTTTGAGCGAAAACTGTTTTCAGATGAAATTAAAACTATCTTCTTTGGTTTGACTACAACTGGCATGGAATTTGACTTACTGAAAGTCTCGTTTAAAAAACTTCAACAATAGGCAGTTATGATCTCTTAAAGTCATTACTTATTTTTGCTATATTGCTTTTATTCCATACTTATATATATGTATATACTTATTATATATATAGTTTATCTATGTATATCCATACATATCCCGTCTTTATAAAATGACATAACTAAGTAATAAATATAAATCATTTTGTGCATTTAAAAAGGTGGGCATTTTACGTGGTGGTAAAATATTGTACGATTGTCCAGAATAATTAGTCCTTGTGGTATTAATGCCATATTCGATCAGTTAAAATTGTGTTTGTTAATTTGTTCCTATTGGGTACTCATATGAGCAATGTGTCTCCCTAGGCGTAACTAATCCATTTTGTATGGTAAACAACACATGCATGAATAAAATAACAATTTATATCTTAAGGAAACCTCAAAAAAATTGACGAAAGACCAACTCAGACAAACAAGAAAAATACCAATAAAAGAATACAAAAATTGGCCAAAATATTTTCACAACCAAAATACACAAAGACCCACAAATGGAATGAATTAAACATTTAAAAGGTTTGGCATATGAAAAAAGCAGTCGGACACAATAAAACGTATAAAACGTGAAAGTATGTGTAAATATATAAACAAAGTACAACAGTCATGCATGACGACCAGGCATGTTCAGACTGCCACATCATCGCCTTGCCATCAGAATAATAACGGTTGATGATGAGTGCTTGAAGGAAAGAGAGCAATGATTGGCTGATTTTTCGCACAGAAAAGGAAGTGCCGAAGTGGCAACCCGTAAAAACTTAAGAAAACAATCAATTTATTGTGTACTCAACGCTATCGGTGAAGGTTGGCTTAGAACACGGTCACCGCAGTATTACGAACTTTTACATGTATTGAAATATGTATGCATATTAGGGTGGGTAAAAAAAAAACTCTGAAAAATTGTTTGATAGGCACCTCTAAGAAAGGCTCTCCAAGTATAAGCCTTTAATTGTAACGGGAAAGTTCTTTGTCTAACGGTTTTCTATTTCTTTCTTGTTATCAGATAGAAAAATTCATATCTCGTTTATATGTATACATAAATAAAATTATTCTATCCTTAATAGGAATCAGTATAGAACTAACTCTTTTTCCAGAAAATTATCTCATTTAGATAGCTAATTAAACAAACACTATAAATACCACAATTTTCGAGAATGGTGATAGATTCATGGCAACTTTTAGATTGCCCTTGTTATGGTATGATGAGACCCGGTAATCAAAAGATTGGATAGAAGGAAAAGCTGAAAGCGAAATTTCTACTTGCTCGCAGTGTAATTATACAGAGCTCCGTGATTCTGAAATATGGTATATATAGTTTTGAATTATTCAGCATAGTTGACACACTTTTGAAAATTTAGAGGAAAAATATTTATAGTGCAAATAAATACTACACAAGAACGAAGAACAGGTTATAGTTGAATAAATTTAGGAATTTAAACAACATGGTAAATAAATTGAATACATTTAAAAAGGCTTACCATTAAAAATATTTGTGAGAAGTCTTGCCACTTGTTTAAAAATATTATTTATTCATTTATTATAAATCAAAAAACAAATATGCAGAAAAGAAAATTTATAATATGGGCATCTAGCTGGTTAGTTTTAAAAACCACCAATATATTGCCACCTATTTGAAAAATTCAAGCCAACATAATTGATAAAGTGGTATTTAAGTTACCATAATGTAAGTGCCGATGTGGCGATGGTCACTTAAAAATATTTTATTAGAAGAATAGTCAGCTTTCGAAAATTGTATCTCTATAAAATTTATAACAACCAATTAATACAATACGACTTAATAAAATAAGAAACAATGTTTATAGTCAAAGCATTACCATATATGCTGCCTGAAAGATGGCAAAAGGGCATTGATTAAAATGGGCAATACATTAAAGAATAAAGTTATTTAGTTCCATGAAAAAATTGTTTTGAATTTTTTTAAAAAAATCCGCAATTACTTAGTTGCCACTCCAATACTTCTATACTAATTTAAAAAAAAAAAGAGAAAATTGATTGTTTGTTTGAATTGAATAGGCTCTGAAATTACTTGAGGGATTTTATATATTCTTTCATGTTGGTGAAGCTTTACTCTCTCCATAGACAACATTATATTTTCAAAAAAGTTAGGAATCCTTACTAAAACGCCAATAATGTAACCCAAGTTGTAAAAAAATGGCCTGAACAATTTCTTACATAGCTTACAAATTTCTCTTCCCTCAAGTGGGATAGCAAATGGACTGAACTTCTAGTTTATTATATTTTCAGAATCATTATTAACTAAACTTCATTATTGAACCAAAGTTCGTAGATATTGATTAATTTATGAATCTAATTTTTTTCTCACAACCTATATTTCAAAACGTCCTCTCACTAGAACTCAACCAAGAACTGGAGTCAAAGCAATAAAAGATTATATTAACCAATGAATTTCACGATCCGTCAAATTGTTTCGGAGATATGAGCGCTATTGTAAGAACTTTTTAATCGGCTCCCAAAACTTTAAAAGCGTCGGTGAAGAAAATTCTGCATCATTCTGCATACGATCGGCTTGGAATTTTCAGACGACTCTCTTACATAATTTTTGATAATAATTTAAGCCACTTTGAAGTGTATGGTAAATTTATCCACAAAAAATACTTTTTTGGGAAGACGATATTTATCAGAAATCAAATTTTGAGTAGACCTTCGATCATCACCTGCATTTATCTAGATATTGTGTCTGGATTTCAGACAATTTTTAACAGAAAAATCCGAATAAGGGAATTCACAATTTTTATACTCTTGCAATATGTTGATACAGAGTATAATAGTTTTGTTCACCTAACTGTTGTTTGTAGCATCTAAAACTAATCGAGACGGATATGCAGTTATGTATATATAAATGTTCAAGATGACGAGACGAGTTGAATTCCGAGTGACTCTTTGTCTGTCTGCTTTTGCAAGCGATAACTTGAGTAAAAATTAAGATATTTTGATGAAATTCTGCATCCAAGGAGGGTGGTATCGCAGATGGACGTAATCGGCCCATTGCCACAAAACTCCTTTATAAAAAACCTCTAAATTATCATAACTAAGCTCCATAATAAGATACAGGGCTGTTATTTAGTAAAACGAATTACATTAGGGAGGGGCACCTATGTCTGAGAAGCTTTGAAAAAGTGGGTCCCGCGCTCTAATGAGTATAATGTACATATCTACTAAACTATTCAAGCTGTAATAACCAAATTCACTCAGACCAAATCTTTTTTGGCATCCCTACCAACACTGTGAAAATGGGTAAATTCGGATTGTAACCCAGCCCACTTCACATTTGGTTAAAACTACTAAAAGTGCGATAAATCTATAAACAAATGCGCCACAGACATAAGATTTTACACCTAAGATGGTACAAAAGGCTTTAATAGGAGTCGGTGTCAAATTTGGACGAGGGGACTGCCCACATTCAGGTTAAAACCCATATCTCTGGACCTACTCGCCCAATTTTAATCAAATTCGGTACGTAATATTCTTCTGACATTCCTACATCACAGTGCGATGCGAAGGATTAATGCAACAAGTCCAGGCCTTTCTCTGTCCACAATATACCCGGTTTAGTGATTTCCGATTTTCCACCTGTCTTTAAACCGTTTAGGACTTTCAAAATGTTTGATAAATAAATGAAATTAAGTGGACAAGTTTTCTTAAAAATTATGCGTATCTGAACATGTGTGGAGTTGGTGTAGACCTTTTAGACCTCATAGACCTCAGACCCTAATATAATAAATTGCGATCCCTTGGTTGACGTTTTACAAATCTACTCAATATATTAAATTTAGCCTTTTTAGTTGAGTTTATGTCAGATATATCTTATTTAAAAATGATTTAAATATTATTTTATCTGACGCGAAGATATACATATATAGCAATAAATCTAAGTGAGTCTATGACCTATAATATAATTTCATAAGACACCATATTTGATTGTAATCCACTCGCGATTTCGTCGTTGAATTTCTTCGCAACATTTTTTAATATTATATAAACTGTAGTTAGTATCTGAAAGCATTTCTTTTGCTGTAGTCCTAGCAAGTTGCAAAAGTGTGAAGTGTTCGTTTACACCCAAGCTTAGCCCTTCCTAATGTTCAAAATGAATCCCTTTTAAAACATTAAATTCTCTAAATATATACAAGTATATTTCAAAAATACAAGCGAACCCGTTTTTCTGATTTGCAATTGTAGAGAGTATAACAACATAAAAAATAATAGTAAAGACAAAAAGTGACGAGGCATCTAAAGTTACTTTTTTTTCCTCATTTCCATTTTCGAACTACTTAAGTATGTATGTATGTTATCAGAAAACACAGTTTTGCACTGAAATAATTATTGAAATGTCGCGTTCAGCTTACTTTGAAAACAAATCCAATTATCACTTCACTAATATTCAAATTTTTGGCTCTTAGTCATTATAATAGAATTACGAATGTTTTATTTATTTAACCTTTATGTTTGCCACCATTTTAATGTGCTTTTCGAGTTACTCTAGATATCTAAATTTGTATTCATTTCATTACCTCGAATTGATAGAATATATAATAAAACAATTTCAACTTATTACACATTGTATTATTTAAAAATCCTTTTTTAATTATTTTGTCAATTTCAATAAGAATTGCTATTTATATTGATCAATACCCAAGAGTGAAATCAACTAGTTATATCTTGCAGCAAGTGTCTTTCTCTAACTATTAAAATCACTTGTAATATTTTACATGTTGAAGGTTTACAAGTTGTCTATTATAAAATTTTGGTCAAAATAATATGAGTCCGAGGCTTTTTGAAATATGTGCATAATTGTAGAGTAAAGTTCGGACTTTCCGGTGTTTTATTGAACCACTACTCTCTGAAACGACCATTAATTGTAATGAGTGTGCGACTTTAAGGACTAGTGTAAGAGCATTTCGCAAGCGAATTCTAAATTAAAATAGGTAAGAGGTTAGTTGTTTCACCATATTGTATTTATTTATATCTATAACAGTATGTGTTTGTAATAATAGCAGAAGAATAGAAA